TCTACCTGGATTATTGAGCATGCGTCAGGAAATCAGGATAATGTTTTGTCTGTGCCCATTTGGAAGCATCTTAAAGACAAGTTGATCAAACATTACTTCACAACTATTACACTAACTGAGCAAGTTTATTTCAGCTGTGGTGTATTTAAGATAAAGACAGCCATTCTCTCACTCACCTAGGGACAATTTAGAGTTACCAATCAGCCTAACATGCATGTTTTTGTTCTGTGGGAGGAAACCAGAGTACCCGGAGAAAACCCACGCATGCAGGGAAAGAACATGCAAACTCCACCCAGAAATGTCCCCGGACCAGGTTTGAACCAGTGTAACCTGCTCGCTGAGAGGCAGCAGCTCTACCAGTTGTGCCACCGTGCTGCCTAAAACAATTTATTTAAAATAAAAAAATCAATCCCGATCGTGCGGCTCATCCATCAATCAGCAAATTGTGTGTCATGTCCAATATTCTTTTGAAAAACCGCAATAGAGCGAGTCCGCGAAAAACAAACCGCCAAGCAGCGAGGGACTACTGTACATCCACAGTTAGAATTGATGATTTGCTGTCTCTAATTATTTTGAAACTAGTTGACATGTTGTTTCATCAGCTCCTGTCTTTATAAAAGCAAACTTCTTGCTTGGCATCGCTCGGGCGAGGTTTCTCCCTTGATGGCTCCACAATGACGTGCACACGCACACATCTGCAGCCTTGCCTCGACTCAGAAGGATTACCAGCCAGTGTACTGGCGGACACTTTCAAGAAGGGAAAACTCAATTACTTCCCAGCTCCTTGAAACACCTGAGCACACTGAGGAGAATTGACCCCCCCCCCCCCCCACACACCCCCACACACACACACAGACAGACACACATACGCACAACACATGGACATTTCCTGCTTCACAGAGGTGCATGAAATAAGAAGAGCGAGGAAGCCTGAGGAACAGCTTTCACGATCATTTCGGTTCCACCCACTAACTGCGAGGAGTCAAGACCAATTCAATTTCAGAACAACCTGAGGTTTTATATGATAGATAGTCACATCTCAAACTATTTACGTTGTCACTCTGGGAGCAACGTTGTCTGAATTTTCAGTTTTTGAACTAAAACATGAGCTGTTGATTACTGTTCAATTCTGGTAAACAGCAGTGGCTCCTGATCAGGGAAAGTTAACAGGAGCTCTGCAATTCTACAAGTCTGAATTTGTTAGTTTAATAGTATAATAAAATGTTTGGCAGCAATGGGATGATTGTTAATTTTTAGCTTTAGTATTCCATATGTCGTGTGGGTTTGTTTAAGTTTGATACAACACGAGAAAAATCAGGAGTGAGACTAAAAAGCTGTGAAGAAATCACAAACGCTTAAACCAATTTATTTATTTATTCTTCCAAGGAAAAGTGTTAAAAAAAACAGCAAACTTCTACAACTCAACAGCGAGCATCTGACAGCTGCGCCGGTTACAGTTGTAAGGATCAAATCCTCGCTTTTATGTGTCTGTGTGCATCTCAGTGTCTTGGTGTGTGTGTGCCTACATTTGAGAAGGTGCTCTCCTACCATCACAAGACACCACTAGCTCCAAGAGGACTGCACTCTCTGTCACCATGGAGACAAGCACACCAGCGCCTAACAACGCTATTTTTGGAGCGATGCAAAGAGCTTCATTTCTTCTCCTTTTTTCCCCATTCAGCAGTACTCTTTAATTTTATTTTCACAAACTATTTTGGCTTTGGCAATGTAGACCATCTATTATGTAATTCGACATAAAAGCTATACGATTATAAAGGGTAGCATGTGAGTTAAGTCTACGTGTGTATGCACATATATTGACAAAAAAAAAAAATTAAGGTAATATTCAAGGTCTTTATTTGAACTCCCGACTGTGTTATAGTCACATTTTGTATAACTTTATATGAGCTATCAAATACCAACTTGACAGTGAAGGGCTTAGTTTTGTATTTTGGCCGTTTTTTTGTTGTTGTTTTTTTTTACTTCAGAGTATCCAGATGTGTTCTTGTTTGCTCACTGGTGTAACTTTGTTCTTGTTTTTTTGAAACTACTAGAAAACAAAGAGATAATGGAAGTTTTGGCTTCAGCAAAAAAAAGCTGCAATTTGTAGGACCCTTAAAATCCAGATGTGTTCAAATGGCACAATTTTGACTTGATAAAATGAATGTGCTTCTCATTTCTGAGTCATTTACAGCTAAAACAACAACATTTTCATTTCATCTCTTTTATGAATGCAGCTTAAATTGTTCTCAAAACTAAAATTTCAAGAAAAAAAAATTAGAATTGAAGAACAAAAGTTCAAGAATACTTATCCTATGCCTGAGCCTATGCAGAGTCACTGAGAGCTGGTGTCCTTCTCCACCCTGGACAGGTCACCAGTTTATCTCACGCCCACACAGGGATGAGCAACCACTCACAGATTAGAGTTGGCAAATATTATCCTGATATGCATGTTTTTGGACTGTGGGACAACTTCCAAATGCCCGGAGAAAGCCTAAACATGTAAATCTTGCAAACTCCACACAGGAAGACCCCAGCAGAGAATCAAACCCACAACCTTTTTACTGCAAGGCAACTACAGTGTCACTGTATTGCCTGATAAAGAAGAAAATTAACAATGAAATAACCATAAACATGTTATAGGTAAAAAAAAATAAAATTGTAAGATCTATGACCAAAAAAGTCCATGCTCAATAATCCAGGTATACTATCCAACAATTTTCAGTCAGGTCATCTGGACAGTTTCTCTTTTTTTGCTTAAAATTTCACCTTCCATCCAGAAGGCTTCATCAGTCAAGGAAACACACAAAACTGATTCTTCCCCCAAACAGCTTACTCCAAAGTGATAACTGGAACTCAGGAAGCTGATTTGTTTCACTTTGGTGTAAGCTGTTTGGGGGAAGAATCAGTTTTGGGTTGTGTGTTTCCTTGACTGATGAAGTCTTCCGGATGTAAGGTGAAACGTTTCAGCAAAAAAAAAGAAACTGTCCAGATGACACAAAGTTTGTTTTGTTTGTTTTTGTTTGTCCAGATGACCTGACTGAAAATTGTTGAATGTAACATCTATGGACTGTACTTACCGCAGTACACATTGCCCCGTCATATAAGTCACATCAGTCCAAATATGTCTAATAAAGTGGAAAAAAAAAACATAAATATGTTGCTTCACCGTATAAGACGCATCTATTATGCATCACTACTGACCACCCACAACTGTGGACCGATGTTGTGCCAAAAATCAATTGGCTGCCAAATGGCGGCCGCGGGAGCGTGCACGGGAGGACTTTAACAATAATTTAACAAGATTAACACTTAAAAATACTTATTTATTTGCTCGAAATGACAGCAAAGGTGTATCTCAGTTTAACTTTTCCTTAACAAATGCACTTTAATGGTCAAATCAGCTGCATTTTGCCTGGGCAGCATGGTGAAATGCAGCTGATTTGACGTTTGCTCCAGGCGTTCCAGAGCGAGACAAAGGTGACTTTCTATGGCAAGCCAAGTGTCTAATTAATAGCCATTTTTATCAATTAATGAGACACTTGGGTTGCCATATTACTCGAGCACCCTCTAGTGGCTGAAAATGGTAGTGTTCAATATTTTCTATGTCAAAATGAATGAAATCATCAGATCTCAGCCAAAAAACTGGTTTATAAATATGGGGGGAAAACACATGTCACTTTGCTGTATAAGTTGCAGAACATGCAAATTTATACAAAAATGTGCAACTTACACAGCAAAAAGTACGGTAATGAAAAATGGAATTTTGTAACGTGCATATCAGTGGTCATGAAAAATGATCACAGTCTGATTCTTTTCCACCGACACTGTCCTCCAGCTTTAACCAAGGCTGGCGCCTTGTGAGCAAAACATTTCTGATAAGCATAAAAGCTCCTGCTGATAGACTCAAGGCAAACTTATCCTGCTGTTTTTATATAATAAATAAGTGTTTCAAATACTATTGAGTTGTATATACGTTTTAAGAATAAATGTATAAAAATCTCAGAGATTTTTTTTTTTTTAATTTAGTCTCACTTGCTGTTTTTGCCATGACAGTTGCAAAAGTAACTAATGCAGGTCAGCCATTGTTGACTGAATGGGCATTTGATAGAGAAAAATATGTAAAAATAACAGTGTAACAAAGTGAAACTCACTGTAACCACTGTCCTCCTCCTTTGTTCCATCAATGGTTCCATCGGCCTGCAGCTGCAGGTGGAAGCCTTGTCGACTGTACAGCTTCGTCACAATCCCCTTCAGCTGGGGCTCTGTGGAGAAACACAGACAGAGGTAGAACGATTGAAACAGGCTGCAAGGTGGCGTCATTGCATGTCAAAACTTGTGTTTTATCACTTCCCATCAATTTTATCATTACTTACAGTATTTTTCAGACTAGAAGGCACACTAAGTGAAACTAAAATATTTTGACAGATTATTGACTAAAATGTACCACATAAAATTGGTTTGAGGTCAGTAAGCATAACCAGAATTAATAATAAGGCGCACCCAATTATGAGGCTCACTGTTGATTTTTGAGAAAATTATAGGATTTTAAGTGTGCCTTATAGTCCGAAAAATACTGTAATTCATAAAAGATTATTGTAAGGAGACAAACTTAAAAAAACAATAAATTGTCACTAATGATTGCGATGAAATGTTAGTCAAATTTCTCTTATTAAACAGAAAAAGTAATTACTCAGATGTGAACAGCGTGTTGAAGATAAAAGATACAGATGTCTCTCTGCAGTTGTGTGGTTTAAGACAAAAACAGTCATTATTAGTAAATAAATGCAAGAGCTTAATTATTAAATATATAAAAAACTAGTTTGGTCTCTCCTACTTTGCTTGTGCAATCAATGAGAACCTGTAGCAGCCTCTTTAAAAAAAAAAAAAAAAGACATACAAAACTAAAAACTGGACTTGTTGAAGATGAACAAAACTGCAGGCTGAGTGGTTTGGTGTAAAACATTTTACTCAAAAGTCCAAGATACTTAATGACTTTTTTTGCATGTTCTGCATTTTTCTCTTCCCAGTTTGTTACATTTATGAATGAGTTAAACATGGGTAAAAACACAACAACCTGTTTTATGTGTCGGTAATCTGAAGCAAAATCATATTTCAGAAATTTGACTGAGGATGTAACCATGAAAACCTGGAAATATTGAAATATATGGTGAACACCTTTACATAGCTTAGAAGCAAAACAGTTTCAGATGTAAATTTAAGAGGTCCTCTACTGTCAGCATTTGTTGCCTGTAGTTGTTCTGGCCTTAAGACAAAACAAGGCGAGGGGATATATATACAAATATATACATATATATACATATACATATATATATATATATATATATATATATATATATATATATATATACACACATATACAGTATACATATAAATATATATCCATCCATCATCTTTATCCATGTCCTTTTCAGGTCCCTATTGTGAGAGGCAGGGGGACACCTGGACAGGTCTCCAGTTCATTACAGGGACACATAAACAAACGAGACAAACAACTGTTCACTTTCTCTCACACCTAGAGACAACTCGGAGTTACCAGTCAGACTAACATACATGTTTTTGGTCTGTGGGCGGAAACTGAAGTACCTGGAGAAAACATGCATGCACAGAGAGAAAGTGCAAACTCCACTCAGAAAGGAGTTTGTGACTTGATCTGTCAACCTTCTCACTGAGAGGCAACAGCTCTACTAGCCGTGCCACTGTGCCACCGTGCCACCATTGCACCATATATATGATTGTGTATGTGTGTGTTACAGATAACAGTGAGTTTTCTCTGGAGGAAGCATTGATTTGTGTTTTCTTGTTTTTATTAATCAGTTTTCTTGGTTAAACTAAAATTGTAAGACTCCACAATATATATATACTGTATATATATATATATATATAATAGAGTCACGTTTGTTTTCTTTTTAATCTAAACTTTTCAGCTAATTTATCCCAGCAACCATAAGGTACACATGCCTTCCACACTTCTGGTGTAATTTGTTTTTTGTCATTAAAGCACATCAGCCATTTGTATCATGGCTATGTAGCTTGGCACATGTCCCACCCTCATTGAGGTTAATATCCCTCTGTAGATTTTTCTGTAAGTGCTGGTCACACTGGTTGTGTTAATGTCCAGTAAGAGTTAAGTGCCTCTCTTTATCTGCTTACTGTCCCTACTGAAGGCTTTCTAACAGCGGCTAACCACACCTTTCATCTCACAGCCTTTCAGCACAGCCACTGTTAGATTCAATAATCATTTACTGCACAGTAAGTTTATTCCATCAGTCATAATGGTTCTGTGGCTTTGCTTCTTCACAATATTATAATTTGAACACAACAAGAGAAAAATAACAATATGTGCATCCACTAATGCACACAAACCAGCATGATCAAAAAATCAATTGGGGTAAAACACACAAACTGGATTTCTTGAAGATGTGGGTTGTTTTAATCTAAAGAAGCATCTTGTGTAAGTCTGAGAGCAGACAATACTGTAGTCACTCTTTGTCTTTTCCACAAGATAGAAATTGGAAGTAAGCGGGGTGCAAAAGCTGCAACTCTGCTGTTATGTAAACAGCTCTGACCACATTGTTGAACATTGTTATAAAACAGATTACTGGTTTAAACAAGGCTGAAAAAAATGCTGCTGCTTATTAAAAATAAACCATGGGCCTGAATGTGTGAACACTTCATGCAAAAAGGGAACTTGTGAAATTTTGGCATTCATGTCAGATTACAGACTAAAGTTTGGACCTGACTGAAGAGTCAATCTGTTTAGTTAGCCTACCCAAAACATAAAGTTATTATCTTTGTGGAAAATTATGATTATTTATTCATTTATTTTTTTCTGTGGGGGAGGGGACATGTTCAGTCAGATTATTGTCTTTTGGAATAGTCACTCAAATATTATTGACAGTATTATTCTGATGGATTTTTTTTTTCAGATTAAATTAAGTAAATAGTGAAGAGTGTGTAAATACTCCAATTTAACCTGAAATCTTAAATGCCATTTAGCTGTGGAGAAACACCCACTCATTTTCTTAGCAAACTTTGGCAGAGCTCATCTTCAAAATGACTGAATTGGATCTTCTGTTTTTTTTTAATTATTTTTTTTTTTTAAAACATAAGACACCAAAACAGCTGAACAGACCTGGTCGTCTCCTTCTTCTCTTGTTGGAACCAAACAGTTTGACCCGTGAGAAAACGTTCAGCCGGTTGGGTTTTTCACAGCTTCCTTTGGCTTTACTGGGGCTGCTGACGCAGCGGCAGGCATTCGACTTCTCCCGCTCCCTCGCCTGCCTTTTCTGCCTTATGAGGGAGCTGGCGATTGCTGCTGCCATAGCCAGTTTGGCAGCGTTTTGTGGGAAAAAACTTCCAGAGAAAAGCGAATCCAGAAAGGTGGATTCAATACAGAGACGTTCTGAGGCAACGCGCAATCTGCAAAGTGCACCGAAGAGTGGAAAGGTGCAACAACACCTAGTTGATGTCCAAGTGAATCATTTTGTAGTGAGTATCTGCGTTATTCAGGGATGTTCCGTTGTATCTCCATGAAAATTAAGAAGTTTGTTCCATCCAGAGACGCAAAAAGACTTTTACCAAAGCGCGTCGCATCTTCGTCCAAATGGATCATTTTCTTGGAATCACCATGAAAACGCACAAAAAGCTGGTCTTGAATGGTGGGTTTCCATGATCCCACATGGCTACCCAGCCGCGCACATGTTCATGGTGTTGGTAGACAGAGGTGAGTGGCGCTCGGTGCCAATCCTCAGAATGGAAACACCTGTTTGCAGACGCCCGGAGTGTTTCTTCCAATAATCCCTCACTGTGAGTCTGCGGCCACGCACAGCCTTTGAGCCGCGTGCTGGGAACGCAAACGCACAAGATGAGAAGGTGTCACTTCGGAGATCCCAAGTGTTGTTGTTTTTTTTCTGTTGTTTGTGGAAGCAGGAAGCGCCTCGTGGCTGAATCAGGAGCGCTGCGCAAACACAATCAGAGCATCCCCACCTAACCTGAAGAAAGAGCTTAGGGGTGGGGGTGGACTGGGACCCAGCCAGTGATAAGGACATGCCCAGCATCACGCTTAAGATATATTTCATATTAAATATAATAAGAAATGCGGCGTGGGAAGCGCGGGGGTGGCTGGGTGGGCGAGAAGAAAAAGTCCAGAACAGAGTGAAACAACACATTTAGTGTTTTTATCGTTTCTCTTTGATCAAATGGACCAGTCAGCACCAAACACAAATGCATTTTAACACACATTAAATAATTGATTTAATTCTATTGATTAATTGGCTTTATATTAGCACACTTGAGCGCAAACCTCATTCATTTTCCTCTAAGCTTTATACGTTGTTTTTTTTTTTTTGTCACACATAGATACAAAAACGGTGGTTAAACTGAACATATTTATTCGTTGCAGCAAGAATCAACATTAGTTGTTCAATTGATGTTTAAACAAGACACTTAAACATTCATTTTAGAGTTACTAAATTCCAAACGAAAAAGCAACTTGTGACAAAACCATTGCAAATAAATTGATTTTCCATTATAGAGATGTCAACCCACAGTTAAGGATGACTGGTGAATAAAAGGACGACTTTAAAAAGTGTGATTAGCACTTTCAGGAAAAGAAAGTCACAGCCCCTTCAGCTCCTTTACTCCACACTGAGCACATTTCTGATCCGATGGTGCCATCTACAGTCCTGGTGTGTCCTTTACGTTTTATTTATCTATTAAATATGAACACCCCACCTCAGGTTATAGATCCAGCTATTACATAAGAAGCTTTAGAACTAGGAAGATGCGAAATTATTGTGGAATAGAAGTTTTAAATGGTAAATGGACTGTAACGCCTTTCTATCTTATCAAGACACTTAAAGCGCTTTACAACACAATCTGTGCCTCATTTACCCATTCATACATCACTCTACTAGATCTCTGCTAATTGAACAAATAATTCTAAAGAATCAGTGCTTTAGATCACATTCATACACCGATGGGACACACATCGGAGGCAATGAGGGGTTCAGTGTCTTCCCCAGGGACACTTCAGCATGTGACTGCTGGTGGATTCGAACCCCCAACTCTTGCACTGGAGGACGACTGCTCTAACCACTCAGCTGCCCAGAAGAGAAATTTTAAAAATACAAAAAAATACTCAACAGAGCTAAATGGTGCATAAAGCTCTCAGTTAAATCCCTGTCTGAATAAAAACAACAACACATAATAAAAAGACATTCACATGAGAATGAAAAGTCCTAAAACAACAGCTAAAGCTGCAAAATGTCCTTTTCAGCACCATGGACAGCAACATGACGACAAAAAGGATGAACCAGATGTTTTCACAGCAAATCAACATTTTTCTGTAAAGTTCAAGCATTCAAATCACTCAGAGCACCACAATCAATTTGACAGACATAAAACCAGGAATGTAAAACAAATTTTAGTGGAAAAGAAAGAAAACGAGCTGTGAAAATATCTCTAAAACATCGACAATCCTCCTACCTGAAGTGGACTTTCTCAAAGGAAAAGTCATTTTTTCTCCACACACAAAAGTCAAATCAGTGAGTGGCTCAGCTGTTTGGAGTCCTTAAGTAGGAAAGTGAAGAGAACAGCTTCGGGACTTGATTCAGCAAACTTCAAAGCATCGTCAGAAAACTGCGCGAGGCGCGGCGGAGCAGAACGCACCGAGGCGTGGCCCAACAGGAAGATCATTAAAGAACATTAGCCACATGCCATTAAAACGTCTAAAAAGCTCATTAAACATTAATTTCGTGGTCTTGTTGAAACGACAGACTCTGTTGTGTGTTGCTCAGATTGGTAGGAGACACAGCGGGAGGTGGAGAGGAGAGAAAAGGGAACGAAAATGGGTGGCTTCGACTTCCTTCTCGGAGCTCTGAAGACTTTGCTCTCATGTTACAAAAAGTGATGTAAAATGATCCGTTAATGCGTCCACTAAACTGGTTACACGGGCCTTTCTACTTCAGCTGGAAATGTCCAACGAGACAATGATTCGGACAAAAGGACTTTTCAAACACACTTCTGCTCCTTGAGGTCAGGTTTCCTGCTCCAAACATCTGCTTTTACAGCCAACAAGGCTGAGTCACGTCCTCTGGACGGATTCTTTTTTTGTTGAAACGTCTTTCATCCAAAATATTTATTCAGTCTGAGGAGACAAAACGTTTCTGCAAAGAAGAATCTGTCCAGAAGGGCTGACTCAGCCTTGTACCTGGATTATGAGCATGCGCCAGAACATCTGCTTACAGGATCCATCATTAGCAGAACTGAGTCTCAGTGAGTAATTTAGGAAGTTTTGACACGTTTACAGCACTGTTAAGAAAATAAAAGAACTCTACAGTGTGTGCAGTCAATGTCTGCTGTGCTCTGTTTGAACACTAGATGGCGCAATATAACCATTAAAAGCCTTTAGATGTATTTACCGTAAAGGAAAAATAAACTAAATGTGTTCTCTAGTACACAGGTGGATCTAAAAACATTGATTTACACAACTAAAGAGATCATTCCATTCTTCTTTGAGTTGACCCTATATTTATTTGATGAATTTCACCAATATTTACTATGTTTATACTGTGCAGTGCCTCTAATTAAAACTACGACTATAGTATAAACCCCCAACATCTCTCTAGTGAGGTTACAGATAAATGCCATATAAAACAACCAACCAACTAGCCAGCCAAATAAACAAACAAACAAACAGAATGCTGCAATTTTAATTACATGCGCACACCTTCCCATATAATGTATCTAATTCCCTCATGGTCAAACAAGAAATCAATGAGTTTTTTTTTTTCATTCATTCAACCATTAATAATGCAGGTTAGTCTCAATGAGACTCAAGGACTCATTTACAAGAGAGACTTGTTTTAATAAAGAATGACGACAACAGTACACCATCATAAAAGAAAGCATATGAACTGGAAAAAAAACGGAAGAAAATTATAGAAAAAAAAAAGGGACAAAAACAGCTAAAGCGATGTAGAAAACTAAAAACAGGAACATGTCTTCGCTGGTTTTTGCCATAAGCTTAACAGATGTTTAAAACCACTTACAGAGGTCAAGGTCGAGAGCTTCAGATCTTTTTATAAGATATTCCAGGAAACAGGAGCGGAGTAGGAGAAGGCTCTTTTGCCTAGTTCAGTCCTCACTGAGGGAACACTGCATGTCCTGAGAGTGCACGCTGTAGCTGCACTTACATAATGGCGTATAGGAGCTGTATGAAGGCAACACACCAAGAAGTGATTTAAAGATGAAAATGTACCAATGGGAGAGTCTGTGTGAAGTTAATGATGACCAGTTAACCAGTAAATACAGGGTGCAACCAGAATAGGATTTGAAAACTGATTTATACAAAATGACATTTTGCAAAAGAAAATATTTCTACTTTATTGACAAATTGATGTTTTATTGTGTTTTATGACTTAGTGCAGGGCTCTGCAAACTTTATGATCAAACGAGCCATTTTTACACCTTTGTTTACTAAATTAAATGTTTCCAGAGCCACAGCAATGTGCTACAACTGTGATTATCAACTAGGTTTGTTGGGAGGATACTTTTGTGGCCAGTAGGGGTGACATTATAAAGCTAAAATATTTTGTGATTTTTAACGTTTGTTGTTCATTGATGCAGTACAGTGACGGTCCTACAGAGGAGTTGAGTATTGTTCCCAAAATCACCAACAGTTAATTTAGTTGTGGCGGTCAAAAGTTAATTTAACCTGGAATGTTGTCTCTAAAGCAGTTTGCAGTAAAATCAACTTAGTATATTGTTAAAAACATATTTAGTGTGCTCATGTCCGGCAATCACTGTGCGAGGGGCGGGGTACACCCTGGACAGGTCGCAAGTCCATCACAGGGCTGCTTTAACAAATATTAGTGCTAAATTTAACAAAATATATTTTATTTTCCTTTATTTTAAATTTTCAGAAACTATTTTTGATCAAGACAGTTAGTTTTTCCATTCCTCTCCATGCGCGGTGGCAAAAATACTTCAAAGTGTAAAATTCAGCTGCCGATGTCAAACTAATGTGGCAGTTGATAGTGCACATTTATTTATTTATTTTACAAAAATAACTTTAGTCCATATTCTGTCAAGTTTAATTTGGTGCTTTTAAAGTGTCCCCCCCCCCCCCCCCCCCCCCATCTGGAAAATGAAGTGATGTGACAGAAAGCTGAAGAGTGGTGCATTCAAGTTCCTGCCAACATGCATCAATGATCCAGCAGAACTGAGTAAAGGGCAAACGGGCAACTCTGCTGCAAAGACTGTATTTGCCCACGAGGTAAACTGGTCTCATGGTAAATCATGAAATAACAAGCGTCAGCACACACACACACACATACACCGCGCACCCCACACACACACAGACCGAGTGGCTTCATTTAGAAATACTCAGTGAAATGTATTTTTTGATACAGAATATTTCAGGACACAGTATCTCTGAGTGTTACTGTTTAACCCCCTGAGTTTGAACAAACTCACTGTGGCAACTTCTTCCACTGAGCTCAGGCTTTTTTGTCATCATAGCCATAAATTCAAACCATCACTCAAGCAGAAAGTGTGACCTTTCAGGAGAATGACTGGTTTTATCAGAGTGCTGTGATTACACAGAGAAGTGATGAGTCAGACTGTTCTCTACAACTGTGATGCATTTAAGCAAGCAAAATTATACTAAAGCAAACAAATCTAAACATGACTTTGTGTTTTTATGGGCAAATATCCAAAGAAAACAAATCTGTGGGCATTGACACAAATGGAACAGATAATAATAAAATGAAAAACTATAAAAAAAAAAAAAAAAAAAGGGTCTTTTATCCTGCCTGATTCTGTCAGAGGACGACGTTTAGAAGAGTTTATAGCTTTGCTTCTTTTGTCTTTCTCAAGATAAAAATGCAACAAGGCTATTTTAAAATCATTTTATGTCTTGTCAATGATATGAACAATAGTGCAATAAGTCAAAGTCATAGATAGTGCAAAGCAAAAAAATAACACATTTTAAAAACTATGTATTAAAAACATGGCATCTAAAGCAAAGCAACGGGACATGCTTAATCACAGAAAATGCCTGTGCCATTGACACATGACTTACTGTAATGACCCAAAATTCCTTTGTGTGTGTGTGTGTGTGTGCGCGCACGCGCGTGCTCCTCCACTGTACTGTACTCACATGCACACTGTGGGAAAGTGGAATAAATAAATAAGCAATAACAATAATAATAATTCAAAACAGCAGAAAGCAAACATGCCTGACAGAATACATCCTACAAAAAAGTATGAATTTGAAATTTCATGAAAAATAAACTGAATTTTAATGAACAATGATTTTATAATCTTTTTTTTATCCATGTTAGAAGGACATTTTTCACTGTTCTGCAATATGACTCAGAGTTTTGCAAAATTAAACACAGAAAAAACTGTGTTCAAAACATGTAAAAAGAAATGTGTTCAACATAATGGTACTTCCTCCAGTTATTTAACTGCCAACAATGGTGTACCACAAGGCTCAGTCTTAGGACCCACCCTCTTCATAATCGACATAAGTAATGTATATCAATAAAAAAAAAAAAAAAACTTTATTAAACCCTAAGGGAAATTATTTGTTGTTGTAATTCATTATCCTCATTTCATTAAGAGATGTTATAGATACTGATGGCTGTAGGCAGTAAGAATCTCTTGTAAAGGTCCATCCAACAGTGGATCCTAAGAAACTGGCTGCAGATGCCGTCAGATCCGTCCACCCAGACTTGGCTGGCCTCTCAGTTCCCCCAGGCTGTAGGACCGCCTGAATGCCGAGCAGAACTCCTCCCAGAGAAATGGCCACTCCTCCCAGCAGTCTGCCGAGCTCCTCGTCGCTGCGGACAGCCAACTGTAGGTGCTGAGGGACGATCCTGTCCTTCCACTGTCATGAGCCATGTTTCCTGCTAGTTCCAGGATCTTAGTGGTCAGGCACTCGAGCACAGCTGGCAGGTAGATGAGAATACATCCACTGAACATCCTTTCAATTCATTTGAGATTTGGGGCTGTAGTTGAGATATTATTTGAGCTTTTGAAATGTTAATCAGCTGCTGTTGGTTGTAGTTAACTGCCTTGTTGCCATGGTTACGCATCATAACAAATGTCCAAAACTAAAAAAGTTACAGTAAAAATCCTTCCAGCTGCACGGCATCCGATACCAGAGGAAACAATCATCAAAAAATGTGATTTACATCCAGAAAAAGAGGAATTAAAGTTTCCAAAAGCAAAATCTCAGAATGAAAGTAACAGAGCTGCTCCAACATGCAGCCACCTTGAGCGGCGCAATTCTAGAACAGATCAGTTGATGCATCCTTGCATTTCTATGCTGACGATACAATTGTATATTGTCGAGCTAAAACAGTTGCTAAGGTTTTGCAGCTTTTACAGTCTACATTCAACATCATCCAGTCAGACTTGTTCTGTCTGGTGATAAATGCTGATCAAACCAATGAGATGTTGTTTTCAAACAGGAAGTCGGTACCAGCAGTCCTTCCTTCTATCTTATCTATGAATGGTTTTGTGTTCCTTGAGTTTGTCGATTTTTA